GGGGGGGGGGGGTGTACTGAAAGGGTGGTGAAATCACTGGGTGGCACTTGGCTTTGCCTAGGTTGGCTTAGTTTTGTATAGCTTTGTGTAAGTCACCATTCTCCTGTACACATCTTACTGTGGAGAGGGGTCTTCAAAAATAATTAGCAGACTTGAAATTAACGGAAGGTAATTTAGCAGAAGCTAGTTACGCTAACTGTTACCATAGTTATCAAAACGCTAATCTGATAAATGAAAAGTTAGTTCCACTATTAGTGGATTAGCGAAACTGTGCTCACTACTACTGAGATGGTTTGGACATGCCCAGAGGAGGGACAGTGGTTTGGACATGTCCAAAGGGACAGTGGGTATACTGGTAGAAGGACGTTAGAAATGCAGCTGCCAGGAAAAAGACAAAAAGGAGATACATGGATGCAGTTAGAGAGGACATGGAGGTAGTTGGAGTGAGGACACATGATGCAGAGGACAGAGTGAGATGGAGGAGGAGGACTTGCTAAGGAAACCCATGAAGAAGAGGAAGAAGATTGACATGTCCAGAAGAGTGGTTATAAAGAGACGATAATATCTTAGTGGCACAATATACTGACTGGATAAATTGATATGTATAGTCTATGGTTCCTACTGGACTTGTAAGATTGATGCCATAAGCATTGTTTCCTGTTTTTGGTGTATTATTGAGGCAACGTCAAAGCGCTGCATACGTTTGGCATGGTTTGTGTTTTGAGTATTTTTCTGCTTTTCCATGCGGATGAAAATTTTATTACAAATGATGTGGTGGTTACAATAATTTTTAAGAACAGCAAAAAGATATCTATCTATCTATATATATATAGATATTATTATTTTTTTTTTGTTTTGTTCCCATGTGGACACATTAAACAGAGATCTAGATGGAGATCGTTTAGCCGATGGATGAATTTTTGTGTTTCAGGCTGCTCCCCACGTGGTTCCCGGCTCATCCTTCAACTCTGTGGGCTCACAGCCGGCAGGTCTACCTACCTATGACCTACTGCTACGCTGTTCGACTGACTGCACAAGAAGACCCTCTGATTCTCAGCCTCAGACAGGTGCTAATCTCACTAATCACACCACTAGACAGAGCCGTGCCTTTTTACGAGTAATCGTTGTGTAGAAACAGAATATCTGACAAAGTACTGATTCCACATTTCATTTAGTAAGTACCTTTTCTTTATAACAGAACATGTCCTAACTTTAGCACATGACGTGATCGTGTTTAGCAACAAGGTTTTTTTGTAATAAAATAAAACAATATTCCAATATTTTGAATATAACGTGCCAACAAAAAACAATGTCAATGAATGTGTAGTAGGTGTGATGAATTTTCTGTAATGGTCAACAAGAAAAATCTTGAAGAAAATCTGATGGGGTTTCTTTAAAATGCATTCAGTGGTTCATATTTTGCTAACAGACTAGCACACAAATTGGAAACTGCGGTAACTTGGTGGTCAGTGTCGTGGTCTTGTAATCCTGAGGTTGCGGGTTCGAGCCCAGGTTGCATCAAGAAGGGCGTCCGGCGTAAAACAATTGCCAAATCTTTCATGCAAGTCCACTCGCTGTGGTGACCCCTGAAGAAGGGAGCAGCTGAAAGAAACTTACTTACCAGCACACAAACTATCTTCTGCCTTCCAAGGTAATAGGCAGCAAAAATATTTTTGTAGGATTTATTTTGAAAGTATGTTAAAACTTGTCTGGTTTTTTTTGTTTGTTTGTTTTTGTTATCTGTAAATTCTATATAGCCTTTTAATTCAGATTTTAAAAGGTCTGGTTCAAACAGATTCATGAATCATGAGACACACAAGGGCCTGGTGGTCATTTGTGTACATTTTCAGAGTTCTAGTGCTTTTATCAGGACATGTGCCAGGTCAAAAACATCCTTTACTTCCTGGTTTGAAGAGAAGATTAGACCTGTGCTCTGCAATGCTGTCTTTACATTGCGAAGACATACACCAGTAATGTACACCAGCTATTTTGATCATATTTTGATTGTCCGTTTTCATAAAATACTTGAAAACAATAACTTTTGTGATGTCTGTCTGCAGGAACTGTATGTCCAGGACTATGCCACCATTGACTGGCCTGCTCAGAGGAACAATGTGGCAACATGTGACCTGTACACACCTCACAGCACACTACTGAATGTCGTCTGCAGTAAGTATGCCAAAGAAACAGTATGTTTTATTTGCATAAGTGTTCTCCCCCCAGCAGTGGCCATTAACATTGTGATGCTTGTGTTTGTTATTCTGAAGTGGTGTTGAATGTGTATGAAGCCCACCACAGCACTACACTGAGAGAAAAGGCTGTCAAAGAGCTGTACGAGCACATCCAGGCTGATGACCGCTTCAGCAAGTGTATCAGCATCGGAGTGGTAATAAAAACTCACATACCTAAACAGACACTAAACTGAAAAGAAACAACCTAAAACTAAAAAAGAATGCTGAACTTATTTTCAATCGTTCTTAAAGACTTTATAAACATAATATTTTCTCTATTTCTTGTAGGTCTCCAAGCTTATAATTATGTTGGTTCAATGGTATGCAGACGGTCCATCCTCTGCAGCTTTTCAAGAGCACGTCTCCAGGATTCCCGACCACCTCTGGTCAGTCCGATGGTCTCCAATAGAATTTGGTTTTTAAATTCTGTTTATTGTCAGGATTTGTGTGCCTTAGTGTGTCTCCTCCTTGTGGTCTTCCCCAGTTCCTGCCACTCCCACCTGTTCCTGATTGTCTTTTCCCCAGGTGTTTGTCATTGTCTGTTCATTAACATCTGTATATAAGTCAGCATCTCTGTGTTCCTCATTGTCTGTGCATCGTCCTGTATGGCGTCCAGTTTCTGCCTCCCTCCGTGTCTCCTTGGTGATTATGCAAGTTGTTGCTACCACATAACCCCTTTTTGTTTATTTTAATAGTAACCTTTACTTTAATCCTGAGTTCTCTGAGTCCTGCCTGCACATGAGTTCTACCAAACAGCAGAGACGTGATAAAATGCATAGACCACTTGAACCCAGCAGGCAGATGACTTAAGCCAAACCCGGTGGAAACAAGAGCGAGCGTAAAAGGAGGGGGCCGTCATCCATTGGAGCAGGTTCCAGGTCAGAACCGCCCAGAGAAGGTGACACTGCAGCCCGGAGGTGGAAATTCTCCCATCATGAAGAAAGGTAGAGGTCCCAGCTCCAGGGAACCTGTCTGGGTTTCGAGACAGTTTTTTCCTCCTCTGCTGCCTCGCTCACCTCGAGTTTTTTGAGTGGCCATTAGAAGAGGATCCAGAGCCTGACAATGAGCTCTGGTTCACCTCAGGTCCCATCTCACACCGCCACCACAGGAAAGGCCGACGATGGACCACGTTCCAGTCGACTGAGCCTCCTGTGCCAGCGCTAGCGTATCCTGTGTTGCAAGACTAAACCTCCAGAGTCCTGCTCAGCCAACAAAGCAGCCGAGTCCTTCTCAACAGACGAACTAGTCTCCCTGCAGCTCCGTGGGTGACGGCAATAACGACTCACCTGTTCCCTGCATCTCCATGGGTATCAGCTGCAATGACCCACATGTTCCCTGCATCTCAGTGGGTGTTGGTTGTGACGATCCACCTGCTCCTTCTATCTCAGTGGGTGTTTGCTGCAACGACCCACCTGTTCCCTACATCTCAGTGGGCATCGGCTACGACAATCCACCTATTCCCTGCGTCTCCGTGGGTGTCAGCTGCGACAACTCACCTGTTACCTGTGTGTCAGTGGGTGTCAGCTGTGACAATCTACCTTCTCCTTGTGTCTCGATGGGTGTCGGCTGTGACGACCCACTTTTTCTCTGCATCTTGGTGGGCATAGGTTGTAATGACCCACCTGTTTCCAGCATCTCTATGGGTGTCCACTGCAACAATCCACCTGTTACCCACGTCTCCATGGGTGTCCACTGCAACAACCCACCTGTTACCCGTGTCTTTATTGGTGTCGAATGGGGTGTCCAACCTGCATCTTGTGTCTCCAAGAGGGTCCTAGAGAAAGCCTCTCACTCTTCCTCCGAGGGTGTCCAGGAGAACACCTCTCACTCTTCTTCCAAGAGGGTTCAGGAGGCTGCCTCTCACTCTTCCTCCGAGTCTCCTGTGGGTCTAGTGTCTCATGTGGGTCCAGTTTCCTGTGGTTCCTGAGTCTCCTGTGGTTCCAGAGACTCCTGTGGTTCCAGAGTCTCCTGTGGTTCCCGAGACTCCTGTGATTTACACATCTCCAAAGGTTTCCACGTCTCCAGAGGTTTCTAAGTTTTCCCAGGTCCACAAGTCTTCAGAGGTCCCCAAGTCCGCATAGGTCCCGGAGTCTCCAGAGAGTTCCATGCCTCCTGAGGGTTCCATGTCTCCTGTGGGTTCTACACCTGCTGCAGCCCCTGTGGTGGCATGTATGCCTACTAGAGTCCATGTAGTTTCTTTGCCTACTGCAGTCCTTACATTTTTTATGCCATTTGCAGACTCCCTGGTCTCTACGCCCGCTGCAAACTCGCCGGTCTCTACACCAGCTGCAGCCTCCCTGGTCTCTAAGCCAGCTGCAGCCCCCCGGTCTCTATGCCAGTTGTAGCCTCCATGGTCTCTATATCTGCTGCAGATCCCCTGGTCTCTTCACCTGCTGCAGACCCCCTGGTCCCTTCGCCTGCTGCAGATCCCCTGGTCTCTTTGCATGCTACAGAGTTGCTGGTCCCAGTACCTGATGCAAAGTTGCTGGTCCCATCACCTGCTGCAGAGATGCTGGTCTCTTCACCTGCAGTAGAGCTGCTGGTCTCTTTGCCTGCTGTGAAACTGTTGGTCCCTTTGCCTGCTATAGGGCTGCTGGTTCCACCTGCACCTCTTCTGGTTTCTTCATCAGCTGCAGTTCCCTTGTCTGACTTGTCAGCTGCAGCTTCTTCATCCGACTCATCGCCGCCTACGGTCCTCTTCCCTGGTTCATCATCTGTGGCTCGCTTCTCTGGTCCACTGACTGCTGCTCTCACCACAGGTTCCTTATCTGTATCATTCACCGTATTCATCACAATTGGTTCTCTGTATGGTTCACTTGCTGTCACAGTATCCCCAGTGGTGTCAACACTCCTCATTCCACTGATTCCAATAGACTCCAGGTGGACATCTATGGCAAGTTATGGTTTGACGCCGAGCCGTCCGCCTGAACTCTTGCCTCTCTCCGGATGATCTCCTGGCAGACTGCCTGAACTCTTGCAGCTTTTCAAGAGCACGTCTCCAGGATTCCCGACCACTTCTGGTCAGTCCAGTGGTCTCCAATAGAATTTGGTTTTTAAATTCTATTTGTTGTCAGGATTTGTGTGCCTTAGTGTGTCTCCCCCTTGTGGTCTTCCCCAGCTCCTGGCGCTCCAACCTGTTCCTGATTGTCTTTTCCTCAGGTGTATCATTGTTTGTTTGTTAACGTCTGTATATAAGTCAGTGTCTGTGTTCCTCATTGTCTGTGCATTGTCCTGTATGGCGTCCAGTTTCTGCCTCTCTCCGTGTCTCCCTGATGATTATGTAAGTTGTTGCTGCCACGTCAGCCCTTTTTGTTTATTTTAATCAACAATCTTTACTTTAATCCTAAGTTCTCCAAGTCCTGCATGTACTTTGTACATGGGTTTTACCAACAGCAGACGTGATATTTGTTTCATTTCAGCAGGCTTGTGCAGACAGTTTGGCGGGACGATGGAGAGATTTTTTAACGGTCTACTGGGAAAATGTTGAAAAATGGCTGTATACCATACCATATCATACCATTTTATTTATAGAGCACTTAAAACAGCTACAATGCCAACCAAAGTGCTGTACAGACAGAACCACAGACAACACACAAATCAATATACAAAATTAAGTAAATCAAAAATATAGACATAAAATCGATGCAGATAATAAATATGACGACAAACCAGTGTGGAGCGTACAGGTTCAAAACACAGATCTGGTGTTGAAAGCTACTGAATAGTGGTGAGTTTTTAAACGGGATTTGAAAATCGAGAGGGAGGGGGCCAGTCTGACAAGCAGAGGTAACTCGTTCCAAAGTCTTGGTCCTGCTACAGAGAAGGCCCTGTCACCTCTGCGCTTAAGACAAGTTCCTGGAACTGTGAGGAGCAATTGATCCGCTGACATCAGGGAACATGGTGGGACATACGGTTGTAACAGATCAGAGAGATGGGGGCAGGGGGGGTGTCAAAACTGTTCAGCGATTTATAGACATACAGGTGTATTTTGAACTGGATTCGAAGGTGAACCGGTAGCCAGTGCAGTGAGGCCAAAACTGGTGTAATGAGCTCTCTTTTGCCTGTACTGATGAAAAATGGCTGTATAAACAAGTGCTAATAATACAGCACAATAATATAGTAACTACAAATAAAAACAATGTTTAACAATAATATGTTATTATGTATGTATGTATGTATGTATGTATGTATGTATGTATGTATGTAT